CTTCTTGTTTCATGGCAATATTTTCTTACATCTCTCTGAGAATACTAATTTTTGAAGTTTCATTTCCCTGAAGAATTCTGTTTTCTCCAAGATTCTCTTAATTTTCCCCCATTTATTTGTGTTGGGTTCTGTCTTCAAGTTAGAGGAGTTCCACAGATGTAGGTCTTCTTGGCTGCCTAATGTTTATGAGAGGGGCACATTAACAAAACCCACAGGGAGCTCTGTGCACATGGGAAAGGCTTGCCAGCTGTGGGCTCCATGTGCTGAGATTTGACTGGGTTATTGTGTTGGGGAACTCCCAATATCAGTATCCTTAGGGTCTTTCTCTTTGGCTGGTCATATTGCCAAGTGACGATTTTTGCAATCTCCTGCCTGGAGGGCAAAAGTTTGGCTGCTAATAGTCTAGGGATAGTCAGTATCTCCTTGTTTCAATACAGTACACTGTTTTCAGCTGAGCCTGGTGTTTCCCAGCTTGGAGACCCTCCATTTTACCCTCTGCCAAGGTATGGGAGAGGCAGTTCCCCTACTATTGGAGGGGGAGAAAATCTGTGATCTAACTTTTTTTAATATACAAATTGGCAATCAAACCCCCTATTTTCAACCCACCCTCACCCTCACCCTCACGTCTAAAGGTAGAAGATACTGCCACATCTCTTGGGGTTTCTGTGACTCAGATTATTTCCTGACATCCTTTACTGCTGATTTAGAAAGCAGCTTCTCAGTTCTACTGTTTCTTTTACTCGTCATTATGCTTCCCAGCGTTCATATCTTTGCTTCAATCAGTTCTCCAATTCTGTTTGCTTTTGTGGGTTTATGCCATTCAAAAACTCTTTCAGTGGTGTTTAGTAGGAGGAAGCAGAAGTGATTCTGTTTATCCCCAAATTTAAGTGCAGTCTTAAAGTTCATCAACAATGAAGTGTAATATGGTTTGGCTGGTCCCCACCCAAAATTCATCTTCAATTATAATCCTCATAATCCCCACCTGTCAAGGGCGGAACCAGGTGGAGATAATTGAATCATAGGGGTGGTTTCCCTCATGCTGTTGTCATGAGATCTCACTGCACCTTGATGGTTTTATAAGTGCTCACTCTGTCCTGCCACCCTGTAAAGAAGATGCTTGCTTCTCTCCTTTGCCTTCCACCACGATTGTCAGTTTCTTGAGGCCTCCCCAGTCATGTGGAACTGTGAGTCAATTAAACCCCTTTCCTTATAAATTACCAGTCCCAAATATTTCTTCATAGCATTGTGAGAATGGACTAATACAGTGTTTTTATTTCAACCTTAGTAGCAGAGACAGCCTTCTGATGGAACATCCTTGGGTATGAAGGATAACATATTTTTGTGGCTTATATGCAGGGGTGATATTAAAAATATTAAACAACTGGTGTGGTGTGGGTGCTTACCAATCAAGAAAAACAGCATCATTCTTGCTGCCTGCTGGCTGCATATTATTGCTGAGTATGAACAAGGAAGAAACCATTTGAAGCAAAGATGAGCACATCCTCAACTGGAGTGCTAGGCAAAGTTCTGCTGTGAAGCGCGGTTTTTTTCTTTTCCTTGACCCTGTGCCTTGAATATAAATGTGCCTTGGGAGGGGGAATAATTGTGCAAGGGAAGAGGTGGCTGAGTCTCTGATGTGAGATGAATGTCAACAGGGTGAGACTGATAGAAGAACAAAGCAAATGCAAAAAAGAAATAGGTCATTGTTACTGTCAGTAAGGCACCCCTGGACTATGGATTCTCAGTTCAGGGTTAGACAAACAACAGGAGAGGCAAAGGCACACTCCTTAAAGAAATCTGGTTGCTGTGATTTAGGATTCAGATATGTTCCCTGGAAGTGTTTTCAATTTAAAAGGAAATATTGTAACATAGATTCAGAATGAGAATAAGAAAAAATGGGAAGACAGTTTAGAAATTCTCAGTGTTTTTATGAATGAGAAATACCTGGTGATGTTTTCATTGTTACTCTTTTTAAAAAAATATTTAAAATTTTATTTTATTTTTTAAAAAATTATTTCTGTCACTCAGGCTGGAGTGCAGTAGTGTGATCTCAGCTCACTACAGCCTCGGCTTCCTGGGCTCAGGTGACTCTCCTACCTCAGCCTCCCAAGTAGCTGAGACTACAGGCGTGCATCACCACACCCAGCTAATTTTATTTATATTGTGCAGAGACGGGCTGTCACTATGTTGCCCAGCATAGTCAGCAAATCTTCTACCTCAGCTTCCCCAAGGGCTGGGATTACAGGCATTAGCCAACACACCCAGCTCGTTGTTACTCTTTATCAATGGTTAGGCTAAGGCTAACATACAGGAATTTCCTCATTTCCATCCTAGAAAATCAAATAAACACTTCACAGACACACACTCAAGATGATCTATTGATAACAGGACTGGTAATTTAGAGTAACCAAATAGTCTCAGCTGATGAGGGAAAGCTCTGCTTTACATAATAGTGCTATGTAATTTCATAATAATTCCAAATAATGTATTTGGAATGAAAAATCCAGACCGGGCATGGTGGCTCACACCTGTAATCCTAGCACTTTGGGAGGCTGAGGCGGGTGGACTGTTTGAACTCAGTAGTTCAAGACCAGCCTGGCTAACATGGTGAAACTGCGTCCAAAAAATACAAAAATTAGCCGGGCTCGCACCTGTAGTCCCAGCTACTTGGGGGGCTGAGACAGAAGGATCGCTTGAGTCCAAGAGGTGGAGGAGGCAGTGAGCTGAGAGGGCACCACTGCACTCCAGCCTGGGCGACAGAGGAAGACCCTGGCTAAGAAGAAAAAAAAAAAAAAAAAAAAAAAATCTAACTGTGTGTGTGTATGTGGGTGTGTGTTTAATCAGCATTTGCAACCTCTAGTGAAATAGCTGATCCACACAAAGATCATCAACAGATGCTAAAACCATTAGTTGAAAGGGTATAAGGAATTGGGCATTCCTATGGTGTCAAAGTATTGTACACAGAATACTTACTACTTGCTGAGAAAAGGTATTTTTCTTTACAATGGAGAGTTCCATGGCCACCAGAAAATCAAACACCACACTGACAGTGAGACACACAGACGTGTGGATCCTGATGAATATGAAAACACAACATCATCTATGTAATATGCTTGCCAAAAAATGTTTACCCTAAATCTCATTAAGCTTTTAGAACTAACTTCCCTCTTAGAGACAGGGAATAGAGGAACCAGTTTCATGATATCACAAGGAAAGCATCAGACAAATTCAGAATGTGGGACATTCTCCAGCTGGCCCTGTTTTTTCAAAAAGGGTCTAGGGCAAGCAGGCTGACCTAGATTAAAAGAGATTTAAGAGACATAACCATACATAATGCATATTTCTTCACTAGCTTTTGTCAGAAAATGATGGAAGATAATTGGGGGATGGTTGGAGAAATTTTTTTAACTTTTATTTAAGCTCAGGGGTACATGTGCAGGTTTGTTGTATAGGTGAACTTGTGTCATGGGGGTTTGTTGTACAGATTATTTCATCACTCAGATATTAAGCCTAGTACCCATTAGTTGTTTTTCCTGATCCTCTCCCTCCTCCCACCCTCCACCCTGATTGGAGAAATCTGAATATAGACTGAGCATTAGACACATTACAGAATCAGTTTTGGCAGGTGTCATAGTGATATTGTGGCTATGTAAGCAAATGCCTTTCTTTGGAAATGCATGCTAAAATACTTAGGGATGAGGTGTCATGATATAAATTACTTTGAAATAATTTAGCAAGAATAGGTAGATAAAGAGATACGAAGCAGATATGGCAGAATACTGGTGTCGAATCAAGATGGTATGTATATGGATGTTCAATTGTTTTATTCTACTTTTATATTAGTTTGAAAGCCATTGCACTCCAGCCTGGCGACAGAGCGAGACTCTGTCTCAAAAAATAATAATAATAAAAATAAAAAAAGAAGTGTATTAGTCCATTTTCATGCTGCTGGTGAAGACATACCCAAGACTGGGAAGAAAAAAATTAATTGGACTTACAGTTTCACATGGATGGGGAGCCTCAGAATCACGGCAGGGGGCAAAAGGCACTTCTTACATGGTGGCAGCAAGAAAACTGAGGAAGATGCAAAAAGCGGAAACCCCTGATAAAACCATCAGATCTCGTGAGACTTATTCACTACCATGAGAAGAGCATGCATGGGGGAAATTGCCCCCATGATTCAAATTATCTCCCACTGGGTCCCTCCTACAACATGTGGGAACTATGCGATTACAATTTAAAATGAGATTTGGGTGGGGACACAGAGCCAAACCATATCAAGAAGTTTAAGGATATGGCCTGCAGATGCAAAATCACATAAACTTGGCCTGACAGTTTGGGGAGTAGTAAAAGTGAGTGTCTGAAAGGGCTGTATTTGCATTGGGCACCCAGGAAGGGCCACTGGTGCTAAGTTCACCAATATAATGAAGTGAGAGGGTCATTCACGCCAGAAGGACTGAGAATTTTGGAAGAATTAATGTACTTAGAGTGCCCAAGTTATCGTCAGCAATAATTTACTCACTGGCAAGATCGGATTGAATAATTCATGTTACAACTGCGATGAGAATACTCATGATTGCTGGTTGTTAGTTGGTTTTTGTACCCCAAATTAAGTCACCTAAAATTATTTCCTTTTCATTAGGAGTTCTGAGGATGTGTTCTTTTTCTTTTCTTCCATTTATCCTTCTTTCCTTCCTTCCTTCCTTCTTTCTTTTCCTTCCTGCTTTCCTCCCTCTCTTCCATTCCTTCCTGCTCTTTCTTCTCCTTCCTTTCCGCTTTCCTCCCTCTCTTCCCTTCCTTCCCTCCCTCACTTCTCTCTCTCACCAATTCTTTCTCCAAATAATATTAAGTAATTGTCCCATCCACTCAAGGCATAGATGTAGAGTGAGAGTTAAAATGCAGAATTGCTTCCTGCAATGCTAAATTGTTCTTAAAGTACAGTTGTTGTTCAGGAAGTGTGTTTGCAGCCCTGTCCAGCTCCATTTCTGGTGTGATTTTAGGGAGCTGGACTGTGCCATGTTACGCCGCCTGGAGAAGAGGATTCTGGTCGATCTCCCCAGCCGGGAGGCCAGGCAGGCCATGATCTACCACTGGCTGCCTCCTGTGAGCAAGAGCAGGGCCTTGGAGCTGCGCACAGAGCTGGAGTACAGTGTGCTGAGCCAGGTCAGCTGCCCTAGAGAGGGGCACATGTAGGTCAAGGGCTCACCACATGGCCATCTTGTAGACCAGGTCTTACCATGAGCTGACAGAAGCTTAAGACACTTAGAATAAGATCAAAGCTGCCCCTATAATGCAATGGGCATCTTCACAGAAGAATAAGCTCCTTGTCACTTAAAAATATTCAGAGGGAGAAACAGTGTGAGGCAGTGGAAACAGCATAGGGTTTAGACTCAGAAAACCTATGGTCAAATCCTGCCCCTGCTGCTTGTTAGCTGTGTGACCTCAGGGAAGTCACTTACTCTTTAAGCCTCAGTTTCTTCATCTGTAAAATGGGTAGCAGATGAGCCACAAAGAATGACTGTGATGATTACATAACAGAAAAGCTCCAGGTACATGTCTATTATGCACATTATCACTGGTGTCCATTCTCAGGGTGTTGTAGAAATGTTGCCTGCTTTTGGTGAACATTTGAACACAATGTTCTCTGAGGCTCCTAAATGGCAGGTATGATCTTATTTACAAGAATAAATGTGCCTACCAAATTTGAACATCCTTGGATTTGAGCACAGGGACCCCGATAGCCCAACTTGGGTGTTCTGGTCGTTTACTGGCATCTTACAGCGTATTTTGATAGTGTTAGAAAGCCCTTCTAGCCCAGCTGCTTAGGTTATCCCAGCATGCTAGCAGGGTCTCTGCCTCAAGCACTGTTTATCTGGGAATCTTTTTAGGGTGTTCATGGGTGACAGATACAGAATCTACACAGGACTTCTGATACTGGGTCCTGCCTATAACAATGTAATGGCCAGGGGCATTCTGTCCACTGACCAATGGCTGTTTTTTGTGGCTGTTTCAGGAGACTGAGGGCTACTCAGGCTCAGACATTAAGCTCGTCTGCAGGGAAGCAGCCATGCGGCCCGTGAGGAAGATCTTTGATGCACTTGAAAATCACCGGTCAGGTATGGGTTGGATCACTGTGAAGGTGTTCTGGGAAATTTGTGTAAAAATCCCTCTCACCAGCAGATGGAGCCTGGTGCCTGTTCTTGGTGCCACTTTACACTTGCAACACGTTTTTTGGTCAAATCATCCCTCACTCAACTCATTCCTCTGTGGGTGTTCTGATTCAGATCGACTTTGCTCACAGAAGATAAACTCCGTAGGGCTCAGGCTTTTATTTCTCTGGCACACTCTGATGTTGGGCTGGATCCATTTGAGGCACTATATAAATATTAAATAATACTTGGTAACAATACATTTAAGTCACATTTTTTTTTGTCTAGGCCTTAGGGGCTAACTCAGTTGCACATTAAAGAATTTTTCCCCAGCCCTCTTTAGTCTTGCCTTTTGCTGCATTAACGATTAAGAATGCTGCATTATGCATTGTCTTGAAAGAAGGTCTATTAGCGTTTCAAGAGCATTGATCACCAAGAGGTCGAGTGTTGTGCTGTTACTGTTGTGTTCTTATCCTAGAAAGCAGCGACTTACCGGGGATCCAGTTGGATACAGTAACCACTGCCGACTTTCTGGATGTGCTAACTCATACCAAGCCCTCTGCAAAGAATCTGGCTCAGAGATACTCAGCCTGGCAAAGAGAGTTCGAGTCTGTTTGAAACCACATTTACCCTGACCCGGCCACAAAGGCCTCCTAGTTTATTAGTGTCCGTGGGAGAAGAACAAAATGATTGGAATGGAAAAGAGAAAATTATTCTTGAAGACTGGATTAACTTGAGCCACTGTATTGTTTGGATAGCTGAGATATATTTATTAACTTATCATTACTGATGTCAGCAAAATATTGAGGGTTTCAGTTACATACATATATGTGCTATTAGGTCATACAATGGAGATTTTTCTGACAATTAGACTCCATAAAATTTTAATAAACAATTTAATGTTACTCATTTGTAAACTTTTGAAGAAAAAGATGTACTTAGAAAAGTTGTGTTGGCCAGGCACAGGATGACCCTGAGTTGGGGCAGCCAAGTAGAAGCTAAGCTTGACAGGCACTGCCCAGCGGACAGTCCCAGGGTGAAGAAGGATGAAGGCAGGGAAGGCAATGCAGTTTCTCATTCTGGACAATATTCTGTATCTCATCAGCTCTCCCTAATTCTGACTCCATCCAGCTTTGTCAGCAGCAAACCCCTCCCAAACTAAGCCCCACTCAGAAATGTCACTGAGCATTCTGATCCTAGAGCTAATAGCTGGGGTGACTAGCACACCATCACCATCAGCTGCCAGTATGACTGTTTTGGGTTCTGGCCCCCAATAACATCTTTTAACTCTTCACATCTCACATCCGGTGTGCTCTGCCCTTCTCTTTCCATTGCCACAGCTTCTTATCAGAACCAAAGCTTAGGATGGGGCACCTGAGCTTAGAGAATATTCGTTCCAAGTCTTCCCTGCTCTTAAGCTCTTCCCCCTCTCCTTAAGGGGTTACAAACAGCTAGAAGCATCTCTCTCAGAAACTCACAATCCGAGGCATCTACTTTGAACCCTTGATAAATTTTGAAGGCTTCCACTAAGTAATGCGACTTCTTTTCCCCCACTAGAACTTACCTATGGGAAATTACCTTCTTTTCTCTTCCTTGCCTTGTTTTCATCATCCCTGCAGACAGACTCTTCAAGAGGAAAAACTTCCAAAAAGAGACACTTTGGATAGCTAAGTATCCCAAAGGATTTTTACCCTTTTAAACAAAACTAAAGCATGTTTTGGGGTATTGATTATTTTGAGATTATTCTCAAACGCCTCTTTAAACATCATTTCATGGAAAATATCAAATTGAAAATATATCTTATTTAACAAATTGAAAATAAAAAAGATTTCATCTCAGTACATGCTTAAACTTCTTCATGAGCATCAGGCACTACACTATGCCAGCACCAGTGATACAAAGCATAGAGTCCCCAGCCCCCGGGCCATGGACCCGTAGTACCCTCTCGTTGCTTGTTAGAAACAGGGTTGCACAGCAGCTAAGAGGCAGGTGAGCATTACTGCCTGAGCTCCACCTCCTGTCACATCAGTGACAATATTAGATTCTCATAGCAGTGTGAACTCTATTGTGAACTGTGCATGCGAGGGATCTAGGTTATGCACTCCTTATGAGAATCTAAGTAATGCCTGATGATCTGAGGTGAAACAGTTTCATCCCAAAACCATCCATCCCCCACCCCCCAGCCAGGCTCAGTCCGTGGAAAAATTGTCTTCCATGAAACCAGTCCCCGGTGCCAAAAAGCCTGGGGACCACTGATATAAAGGACTCTACACTGAATGGCCTAAGACTGATGTAAGGCCCAAGTTCCGATGTCTGCTTTATGGTTTTGGGGGATTCTTCTTGTCAGGCCATCAGCTGACATTTCTTGTAGCTGCTAGTCCATTCGCTTCTGGCCACTACCATAATTTCTAATTTTATAAAGTCTCAACTGCTGTTGCAAATTTGCTGCGGTGGGAAAGCTGGTGCTGTACGTGTACCCAAGAGTGACTGGGTAAAGGGGCAGGGGAAGTGCTCCTGTGGACAGCATGCTTTGTGACAATACATTTGGGTCCTTTCTGCTTACTGCCCGCTCCTGAATGCATTCAGGATAAGTGCAGTTCTGCTATCCCTCACAGCGAATACACTTAACCTTCTTCCACTTCCAAAACCCCATATGCAGCCTGTGTGCCTGCTGCATCTCCACATCCTCCGTTCCCTTTAAATATCGCCTCATCCATGTTTTTAACACTTCCACCTCTATTCAATCACATATTCAGTCCTCCTCTTTTTTCCTAAGAAAATTTGTCTTCAAATACTTCGGCATGTGGATGTTTTTCTGTCACACATTTACTTTGGTGGCTTCTTCTTGAGGTTTTATACATTTATTCCTGCTTTGGATGAAATGAAGTGTAGCTCTTTCATCTCTCTGCCCTTTCCTAACCACGTATATGTTTCTTTCTCCATCATTCCAAAAGTTGTATTATGATTTTAAATTAACTCAATAGCCAGTATTTTTATTAGAAATGTACATTGTTAACTGTAGAGCCAGCTAGTGAATTAGAATTACATTTGCTTTCTTGTTTTGTCTTCCCTAGAATTAACAACTGCCTCATTTTTCTATTTGCTTAATTTTCTAAGTATCTTTTTTTTTTGGCAACACATTCTCGGACCTGTCAGGTGCCCATCAATATTCTTTTCCAAATGACCAAACATACCAGATAAACTTTCCACTCCCTTCCCACCCGCTCTGGTCCTGGTGTTCTAAGGGAAAGGGGAGCAGAGGACCATGGCAGAATAAGCAATTTGTACCTAATCCATTTCCAGCCCTGCATCTCACCCTGGCCCTACACCATGCCCACTGTTCCCATGGCCTTAATTTCCATGGTTCCATTTTTCCAGAGAATAATGGAAAACTTCCATTCTCCTGCCTTGGCTAGGGGTTGGCATCTGACTGCTCAGGATGGGTAAGTTTCCTGAGGCTCCAACTTTTAACCAATTCCTCACTTTCAATCCTGTCTTGTACCTCACTTCCTCCCTACCTGTTGTCTGCAAGCTTGAGTCTTTGAAGTTGTTCTCCAGGATGAATTTTGGCTGTATTTTCTTTGCACTGATTTTGTTTATCAACATTCCAACCAGTTTCCACCTTTCAGATTACTGTACCTTTTCATCCACTGATGCCTCCTCTACCTTCTCTTGTGGGCTGACCCTGTGGGTTTACAATTATTCCTTTTACTCTTATTTTGGTACAGCTTTGAGAAAAAGAGAAAAAGAGACCAACACATACGACTTAATATAATGTTAAGAGTCTCCATGATTATTTTTTAAAGTAGTTTAGAAGTATATATCTAAGTTTACATAGGAGATTGGCCTGATAGCTGTTGGAGGAAAGTTTAATATATTTTCTTCCAAAGTAGAGGTCACAGCCCAAAGACCTACAGAAACATGGAATGTAGTGGCAAATGAGGAGTAAGATGGGTGTTAGGCAAAGCAGAGGTGGAGATGGTGGTGAGCTAGAGAGGGCCAGGGACTCTCTGAAAAACACAGTAATGACTCTGCTCCAATTGGCCATGGAAATTTGGATCTAACATAGACAGTTCTTCTCATCTTCCTAGAAAACCCAGTAGTTGATTTGCATTAGAATCTCCTGGTGTTCAGATGTTGGCAATCAAGGTTAACTATACACCTGTAGAATTCTCACGGCCTGCTCCCACTCACTTTTAAAAGCCTTCCTTGGTGGACCATACTTACCTAAAGTAACCGCATTCCTGTTGGCCTTCTTCATCATTCATCAATCTCTCATCGTATTAGGTAGCTATGTATACATGCATATGTTTCATCATTTGTTTGCCCCCTCCAAATGTTACGCTCCATGCCTGGAGTACTTTTTTTTCACTGCCATTGAATGAAAGATTATTTAAATTGGTGTACGCCAAAGGTTATCTGAGCACTGTCTGTGACTACTACTCCCATGCATTTTGCTCACTGCTTGTGATCTTAGAGGACTTACACAACCATTCTGAACGTGTCAGAGCCCTTGGTGTTGTTATTCATTTTTATATGTATTAATTTCCCAACTAAAAGACACGCATCTTAGAAGCCACAGCTGTATTCTCTCCATCTCCCTTATGCTTTACTCACAGAAAACATTAAATATCAGTTTTTTCAGGAAGATCAGCCAGTGAAGCAAACAGGAGTTGAGCACTGGAAAAAGCATTCAAACTGTTTGAAACAAATGATTTCTGGGACTTTGGCACCCTCATTACTGCTCCTTAAAGATAGCAACATGATTTGGGACAGGAGGTCTTGATGGCTGGTTTAATACGGAAGTCACCAAAAGTCTTGTGCATTTAGGCTGAAAAAAGCTTTTGTGACTTATGTCAAATAAACATGATAATGCAAACACAGCCCTCTGCAAACAACTGCTAATATGACAAAGGGATTCTACTGCTCGAGGCAGTGTTTTAATGCAATAGGTTAGTGTCATTTAAAAAATTCTCTACTACAGGTACCCAAGGACTTCAGTTTTATCCTGCATGAACACACATTGGTCCAAAACCCAACTGAACACAATCAGTGTAGGTGTTTTTAACTTCCCTGTCCAACACACTACTGTAAGTTCTAAAACATGGGATTATGTGTGAATTGACATATATTATTCCACCGGAATTTCTGACATTATGGCTACAGGTAAAGTTTGATGGAATTGTCACTTAGAGTGAGGTAGGTTATCCTTTTCCTTTCCTAGGCATTACGATTAGCTCTCACTGATACAGAACGCACGGTAGGCAGAGCTACTGCAACCTGTGGCTGACTCTGGAGTTGTGGGTGGAGGGGGTGGAACGACCGTCTGTCCTCCCCTGGACTGGAGCTCTGCTCTGTTCCACACTCCTGGCTCACAGCAGATGTGGGACACTCAACTCCTAACAATGGATGTTTTCTAATAACCTTTCCAGTCCCAAGGTGTCACATGGTCCCTTTTCTGGCCAAGGACAGGATTATAATAAAACTGATACAAACACCATCCTTGAGATTAATACCAGATAGCCCTTCAAATGGGACAGCCAGTAAATGAAGCCTTTTAGAAACTTCAGTTACTAAACTTCCTCCATGAGGCCCAAGGCAGACTAACCAGCTGACACTAACATGGATTGGAATGTTTATAAATAAGATTTTTAGTTATTCTCATGAACCTTACCGTGGGCCGGTCAGTTAGCAAGGCCTATATAATGCTTGTTAAATATCTCAAACTAAGATTTTCAGGGCTCACAGGGATAAAGTGGAATGGAGGAAAGGAGAGAAGCCATTTCTCCTGGCTCGGTCCACCATGCTCAGGAGACCTTTATCCTCTTCACTTCCTAACCCATCAATGATGTTCCCTTCTTGGTTTTAGCTCTAACCTGTCTCCAGAGCATCTGATCCATTACTTCCAAGTGTTTATTTAATGAACATTTTCTCCTGCCCACTCAAAGCTATGCTTTCTAGCATTACATTCCTATGATAGTTTTTATTGGTTCAGTACCCATTTGAATGCTTACCTGGGTTGCAGCAGATATAGCAAAGAATGATGAAACTCAAATTTAACTGGGTAGCAAAATTAAAATTAAAAAAAAAATGAGATGCAGTCCTGTCTAGTGGGGAGAAGAGCATGTGAAGACATAAGTACACTCTTAAAGTGCCACATGGACATGAAGGAGGGGACACCTTGCCCCATCCTGAAGTCAGGGACGACATCAGAGAAGGGGAACGCCGAGTTGGATCTTTAGTGTTCTTGAGTAATGTGTATTCTTCTCCTTAGCTCTTTAACTGGAAAGGATCATTGAGGCAAAATCTTTTTCTTAATATGCTTATTTCCCACCATAATCAGGGCACTCAGCGCATAGCAACTAGCAAACACTTGATAATACTTGAGCCAAGGCATCACTGACCCAGGTGCCCAAGCAACAGGGCAAAATTGAAGGCAGCCCACCCACCAGGTACCACGCAGAGCTCTCTACTCGCAGGCTGAGCTCTCTCTGTGTGCAGCTTTACTCTGAGGAAGTCTAAATGTAGTACAGAATTTCTTTTTTTAAATCCTCAGGAAGACTTTCTCCACTGAGATAAATGCAAAGATAAATTCTACCAACATTTTTCAGATGGTTAAATGTCAAGAGTCCTGCTTCATCATCATCACAAACGCACAGCATTTACCATTTGCCCAATGATATTCTAAGTACTTAATATATAGTTCATGCACATAATGCTCACACCAACCGTATGTGGTGGGCATTATCATTATCCCCATTTTATAGATAAGGAAAGAAGGCATGAGAGAGGTGAGGTGACTTCCCCAAGGCCAGAGAGCTAATTTTGTGTTACCAGG